TCTGCATGGGTAAGTCATTCACGCAAAAAGGCTTTCGAAGCCTCGCGTAAGCGATGGCCTTCTCCAGGGGGAAGCCGTCAGAAAAGAATGCAATCAGAAAGTCGCATACAGGCCAATTCTCTACACCCTCATCGAGAATCACCTTGTCTCCGAAAACAATTACTTCAAAACCACCTTTGGCTTGCAGGCGAGTTAGAATGTTCTGACTAGGTTTGCTCCGCGCTTTCACATCCAGAGCGCAGACCCCAATCCTGCCAATGCTTGAGGAGCTGGTTTCAGGTTCACTGACTGAGCTGGTAGCTGTGCTGCCACTAAGTCTCCTAGGCGTTCGGCTGGAGGAACGAGCTGAACGAGTAACTCGCGCCCCGCCAGCATGATCTGTCATTACATCTGAGGTCTGGATTTTGTTCTGGTGGAATTGCCCATTATTCGGACTTGCCCTCGAAGATGGTGAAACCGGGTCATAAAGAAGGGTGAAAGATGATTTGTCACCAGTCTGATCAGGCACAGTGTTTGGTAAAGGCGTGGCAATCAGTGCGTTTCGCTCGTCACTGCCTGTAGCACAACCAACATCAGAAGAGCAATTATCCTCGCTTGCGGAAGGTGGGAAATCTTCAATAGAATTGCTCTGTGTCATCTTTGAAGGTTGCTTGTGGAACCTGAATTTCAAAGACTGATGCTGGCTTGAAAACTCTCATCCCAGATTTCCGTTGCTGTTTTGTAATCTTTGTTCTCCTTTTTGTTGTTTATGTATTCAAGCCAGGTTTTCCAAGAAGAAAATGATGTGTAGTGCCTATGAGTTCATCGTCGGCACAGTTGGGACTAGAGGGCTTCGTGAGATCTGGTTCCAGATGAAAAGTCAAACTTGGTGAAAAGCCCATTTCGGAAGGTGACTCCGTTTTTTTCTCTCACAAATTTGGATGCACGTTTGGTAGACTTCAATTATTTATGAACCTAAGACCACATCGTCGATCTTCTGCTAGATTGTCAGGATCACTCTTGTCGTCATTACTCGGTGTTTTCTTTTTCTTAGGAAGTAAAAATAAAAATACCAGAGACCCAGCAAACATGCTTGAAAGTAAGCGAAAGACGGAATATTCCAGTAATATCTATTGAAATACCATTGTACATTTATTCATATTTATCGTGTATTAACATAGAATAATAGAGAGGTGTTCCAAACAAACAGGACAATCCTACTTACATGTTGATAATTCTGGAAAACCAACTTTCATCATCAGAGCTAAGAGCTTTTACGGAGCGCGGAGATTAAGTAGAATTTTGCCAAGGCGGTATTCTAGGCGGACCGCGTCAAAGACAGAAATTTTCGGGACACCACAAAGTTCGCAGAGTAGAAGGGAGCAATATCGAGAGCTCCTACAATCTGAAACTGGCAATACTACTGAGACCTGACCCAAATTAACACGATGCCTTCACTTGACGAGGATGAATTCAGCGTGCCGCTTCCGAAAAGGCAAAAGCGAATCCCTGAGCATCAGCTCATCTCAAATTCGCGAAAGACACTTGAGTCCAGAATATTTTCACCATATCGGGTAAGCCAGCACTGAATCAATCATGATTTCTTTCCTCTAAATGCTCTCCTGACTGATCAGTCATTAGACACTTGGGCTCGTCTCCCCCACAGCTGTTCCTTTGACGTATGTGCGCTTGGGAAAAAGTACTTTTCAAATCACGACCTGTGTGGGCCGCGCTTTGCACACCTATGATCTACGCCGAGGGCTGAGTTTGATTTTCATCAGCCGGCCTCCGACGCCAGAAGCCATAACTGCCACCTTTGCATGGCGTGAGAAGGTCTTTGCAGCGTGGGGAAATCTCAGACCAGGGACATGTGGAGGTATATGGGTTTTCAAACGCGGCAAAAAGGTCGCTGCATTAGAGGTGCCTTCGGGCCGAGCTGGGCCTATTGTCAAAGTACTGGTTTTTGGCGCTTGGATTGTGGGTTGCACTGGCACCAGCGTTGAAATCTGGAAGAATACGACCTACGAACATTACACGACGTTGATTCCTCGCGGAATTGAAGCGGTATCCGGAGACCACATTTACGGCGGTCAAATGTGCAGTATGCCAACGTATATCAATAAGGTTTTCGTTGGAAGGGTTGACGGCTGCGTGGACATTTGGAATGTGAGGACCGGAGAGCTACTCCATACCATTCCTACGGCATGGCCAAGTGTTGGAGCTGTGACTGCTCTGAAACCGACTCCTGTGCTATCTCTCATTGCTATTGCTCATGCGGATGGCTCTCTACTCATCCGTAATGTCGATACCGAGCAGATTATCTTGTCATTGCGCTCGGGTCCCTCGCACATCACATCACTCGCTTTCCGGACTGATAGTCTAGGCGCTGGCGCAGATGGCCAATCTCCGGGTGTCTTAGCCACAGCTTCTGTGGATAGTGGTGACATCACTTTGTGGGATTTAAACAACGCAGGGCGTGTCACGGGCGTCCTTCGGAACGCCCACAGAACACTTCAACATGAAATAGCGTCTGGCATAAATTGCGTGGATTTCTTGGATGGCCAACCTTTGTTGGTATCGACTGGGAAAGATAACTCGCTCAGGACCTGGATATTCGATGAGACGCCATTTTCACCTATTCCGAGACAGCTTCATTTCAGAAGTGGTCATTCTGCTCCTGTCACTGCGTTGAGTTTCTTGCCCTCAGCAACCGATGGCTCGGAGGCCAATGGTAAATGGCTACTGAGTGCGAGCAAGGACTGCAGCTTATGGGGACTTAGTGTACGAAAAGACAGCCAAAATACTGAACTTTCGCAGGGCGCAGTTGAAAAGAAGGCCAAAAAAATGTCTGCTCCAGGTCCTGTGAACTTAGACATGCAACATCGCACACAGAGTTTCAGAGCTTCAGAGATAACTTGCATTGCATGCTCACTGAATCGCGATGGCGGCATGGGTGTCACCGCATCTGGTCCGATTTGGGCTAATCCGAGAGTAGCAGATGCGGCTGCTTCGAATAAGACGGGATGGGAGAGTATAGTCACTGGTCACCGTGGGGACAAGTTCGCCCGTACTTGGTTTTGGGGTAGGAAAAGAGCTGGACGCTGGACTTTTGAAACAAGCGATGGATCTGTTGTGAAGGTGAATGGTTGTCGACAATATGCCACGGAGTATCGCTAACACTTTATTCTAGAGCGTCGCTATCACGCAATGTGGGACTTTCGCTCTCATTGGGTCCAGTATGGGAAGTATCGATGTGTTCAATCTGCAGTCTGGCCAGCATCGACAGAGTCTCCCGGCTCGCGATTTGAAAAGTAGGCGAACTGGCGAGCTTGGTTTAGCAAATGGTTCTCAAGAAAAGAAAATCGGACATACAAAGGCAGTGACTGGCCTAGTAGTCGATTCTTTGAACCGGACTGCCATAAGCTGTGGGTTGGATGGGAAAGTCAAGGTACGGTATACGACTCCTCATCATAAATCACAGTTACTGAGTTGCATTAATTTAGTTCTGGGATTTTCATTCCGGGTTACTCCTAGATGAGCTTGATTGGCATCCAATGACAGCAATCACTGGTCTGCGTTATAACAGCAGCAGCGAGTTGGTCGCGTTCAGTTGTGATGACCTCTCGATTCGTGTGGTTGACATTGAAACAAGAAAACTCATACGCGAATTCTGGGGTTGCGTCGGTCAGATCAATGATTTCATTTTCTCCAATGATAGCCGGTGGATAGTGGCTGCTTCTATGGACTCACGTGTCCGCGTTTGGGATTTGTCAACAGGACATCTCATTGATATCTTCCGAGTGCCTAGCACCTGTACCTCGCTATCCATGTCAGCAACTGGGGAGTTTCTGGCAACGGCCCATTCTGATAGTGTCGGTATTCGTCTCTGGACGAATCGGAGTCTGTTTATTCCAATTTCGACCCAGAATCTGGACGAATCTGGTTTTGCTGATTCTCATATCCCTATCACATCCGCAGAGGAGAGTGCTGGAGCTCTTGAGGCTGCATTTTCCGAAGTTCATCATCAGATTGAGGCGGAGGGGCCAGTGCTACGTGACGAACAACTAAGTACGGGGATGGTAACACTCAGTGCCATCCCCAGGAGTAGATGGCAGACTCTACTCCACTTAGATTTAATCAGAGTATGGTCCCACGCTTCTTCCATCATCTGCTTTATCATTGCTGATTGTTGTTAGGAACGCAACAAGCCTAAAGATCCTCCCAAGGCACCCGAAAAAGCCCCATTTTTCCTGCCATCTGTTTCCGAGAAAACGAGCGTTGAAAATAGCGACAGAAGTACAGCGTTGTCGATTGAACACACGCTCGCCGAACGCTCAAGGATAGCCAGACACCAACGATCTCAGACTGGGGACGACTTGGGCTCTTTATTCACAGTCCTTCTGCATTCCGGTCGTCAGTCTAACGATTTTGCACCCTTCACAGATTATTTGAAAACTTTATCTCCAGCAAGGACTGATCTGGAGATTCGATCTCTGGATCTGCGCGTACAAGACGGTTATTCTGAGTTGTCCTTATTCGTCATGGCACTGACTACGCGACTCCGTCTCAGGAAAGATTTCGAACTTGTGAATGCTTGGATGGCGGTATTTCTGAAAATACATGCTGATATTGTGCGGAAGTGCTCTGAGTCGGCGGCGAATGACCACGAAGAACTGAGAAAATCTCTTGTTCAGTGGAGTGAAGAACAGCAGCGGGAAGCCAAACGCTTAGCTGACCTAGTTGGATACTGTCGAGGCGTGGTGGGATTTATAAGATCATCACGTTAGAATATGTTGAACTCAGGGACAACAATCGACACTGTTATGTGTAAGGTCATACTTCTTCGTCTTCGTACTCTGGCTATGCTGGTCAGTGGGCTTATTACATGAGCTCTGGTTTGTTAGCACTCAAGATATCCGCGAGCTCACGGGACAAGGAAACCAAGAGTGCTTGTGTTACAACGTCTCCAAACTCCTGACATGCATTCCTAATCTATCCAGTGGAATTGTATGCAATATATGTCATCTCACTAGCTGTTTGTATCTCTTCAAAAATTCACCAGCAGCATCTTCAGTAAGGTACTCATTCACCATCTCAAATCTCGATCTCATCAACTCATAAAGTGGGGGAAGACTCATAAGAGCGTCCTGCATTTTGAGCATGAGATCATTGGCTGTACTTGTGAACCCAATCAGTTGTCTCATAATTCTCAAAGAATAGAGCACAGCCTGAACCTGCGCCGTAAGGTGTATGTCTGCCCAGTCTGTCCTATCACCCATATAACCAAAACTAAGGAATCTGCTAAATTGCTTGGCCTTGGGAAGTGGAGAGCCACTGTCCCCCCAGCCATATACCTCACACAGTGCAAATATCCTCCATAATTTTGTGGTTGTGGCATTTTCGCCCAGGGCGTCTCGAACTACACTGAGACGGGTATAGAAAGACGTCATTTGATCTGCGATCCAGCCTGCATCACGGATTGCTAGAGTATCCCTTGCAATTCTTCCCCCTCGTCGTACAAACTCATCGATGAAGCGAGATCTCCGAGACGGTGGACGCGAAGCATTAAATATCGAATAGCCCAGAACTCTATATGGCAAGCCGTTCTCCCAAGCACACCGCCTGGTATGATCTTCGTTTAGAATTGCGAGATAAAACCGAGGGAATTCGTCCCATGAATTGATATCTTGGGTTTCATATTGCCAGACCAACTCTGAGACTCTGGGGTCAAGGTGATGAGAGTTCGCAATTCCCAATTGCGCATGTTCTGGGCCCTTCTTATATTCCTCGGAGAATTCCAAATAGTCTGCATATCCTTGGGGTCCGAGTGGCCCTTTTGCAAGCCGTATCAGCTCCGTCAATCCTGAATTTGGGTGAAGTTTAAGTTCATATGCTAGGCGCAGTAAATCAGCCAACCCAAAGCGTTGAGCGAGTGATGCTGGATGTAGCTGCACCGCTTGAAGTGGCACGTCTATTGATCGAGCATTATACGTATTTTCCAATTCTAATGAATGAAGGAGCACGACTGAACCATGCGGCCCGATATCATGAAGTATAAGATCCGAATCATTGGTAAGTACCGCAGATCCTGTGAGTTTCGCCAGGTATGCGCAATGCATATCTGCTTCCCCTGCGACCATGACTGTGACATCTGCCCAAGGAAAATCTTGTGATGCAGCTGATTCGGGTAACAATAGGGAGCCCTGCGCAATTTGAAGGATGTTTTCCTTATTCCATCGATGCTTGAGATCTTCGAAGACAGCTGGTACCATAAAAGGATTGTCAGGACATTCTCTGCGTTTAGGGGTCAACGTTCGTCCTCGCAGTATCATTTCGAGCTTGAATTCTGTGTCGATAGACGTGTAGTTACGTCGCAAAGAGCCATAACTGATTCTTTTACGAGCTATCTCAAGCTTTCGTCTTGCCCTTTCGAGTCGTGATAGTCTTGTCTCTCCTTTGTGGGCCGGCAAAGCTCCATCAAAGCATATTGCCTTTCTAGACCATATCAGTCATTATTTGCCTGATCTCCAGCTTGGACGTCATTACATGTCAACTCCCAGGTTTCTTAACTTCAATAGATGCAACATCACCGCACAACTAACTTGGTTGCATGATGGCTGCATATCAGGGAATTCTAGTCGGCTGTCGGACCATCCCAGCAACCTTGATTGGACGTGATAAACCAGACTCGGGCCATCGATCACAACGGATTGAATATTGGTTCTCCCCTCCTCAGCACTTTGACCACCCTTAAGAAGCACTGCTTCCGAATATGGAAGTAGAAGTCGTGTTAGATGCGGTATACCCATAGCTGAAATGTCTATGTCTCCAGACTATCTGCTTGGGTACTCTCGTTAGGGATACTGAAATTTTCAATTAAGGGCTAGGTAAGTCAGTGTTACTGTTGTACATCACATTTGAACTGGGTAAAAGGTCATGTGATAAATGTGGGTCCTGATATAGCTAAAAAGAATTAAGCTTACTAGATAAGTGCTCAATGCATTTGTCACTACAAGTCAACCACCTAACACCCAGCCACATGCTAATAATAGTGGGCGCCCTGTAGATCCTAGACTGCACCAAGTGAAGATAGAGAGCGCGAGCCTAGGGGTTTAGAGTAACAAGAAACTAATGATAATGATATGCACTGTACTGCCCACACATGGCATATAAGGAAAAAAGATAAATCAGCAGGAACCTTGGAAATGAATGTGAATATCTCAAATGTCATCTTATCCCTACACACGAGGGCCAGAACATCACAAAGGAACTAATGGAAAATATAACAGAATTTCGACACCGTACGATGCTAATTTCTCTCCACTTAGACAAAGGAAGGAGAAGTCCATAGCTGCATACGCCGCCAGCTATCCAAGATGCTGGTGGGCTAAGCTAGACGGCCATCCAAAAGAAGGTATGTGACCTCTTGTTATCCAGAGAATAACAATGTTAAATTCGAACCAATGGTGTTCGATATATTAAAATTCTACTAAGTAGCCGTAGCTTACCTTCATGGGCCTCAAGACGTGTAGTCAAAGCAGTGCAGAAATCAGTACTCCCCTCCGAAGGCGCCGTTCAGTCATCAGGATACTCGTCTCGAATATTGCTGACAAATATATGAGAACAGCCATCCCACCGCTTGAAGTGCTTTCCTGCTGTTTCCACAAGCGTTCGCGGTAGCTCAAATAGGTCGGGAGTGATGATTTCGACATTCTCTTCCGCAACGTAGCGAACAGATTTGTCCTCAGCTCTAAACACAATCAGCAAATGCAGTGAAATAGAGCGCATTTACCATACAATGCGTGGTAGAAACTTTGGTGCCTGCCGGCTTCCAAACGATCGATGCCCATCCTTCTCATCCACTGTTCGCTCGCATCGCACTCAGTATCCCAACCAGTTATAACAGCTAAGTAACTGTACCGCCGATGGCGGAAGACCTGGCCGATCCTGTACCTTACCGCTTTGCGCTCAGGTGTCCGCCGTTTGACCTGCTTGGGTATCTCATCCACAGCCCGCACAACACGAATGCTCTCAAGTATGTCCTCTTGCTGGGGCGTGCCTTGAAAAAGCGGTACAAGATACTGCTCGATCAAATGGACATCCGAAGGGAAGTCTGTAGCGAAGAGTTCCAAGAACCAAGGTAAGTAGTGCCTAAGTTCCGCCGGCCGGAAAGAGGTGGAAAATAGCAGTGACGACCAAAGGGCAGCATATCTTGCACTGACCGCATCGACCGGAGCCAGATGTGCTCTAGAAGTCTGGGACAGACGTTGAACGGAGTTCATGATGTTTTTGCCACATCGCAACACAGTATCAGCAACTCCAGACGCACGAAGGAAAGCCGATTGCTCGGCTGCGGAAGCCCCCAGGAAATTCAGCTGATTTTGCAGGTTCTCAACAGGTGTCTCTTCTGCAGAGCGAAACGGATCCATAAAAATGGGCTCAATCAGCGTCGCGGGCGGAATTGCGTTGCCATCAATGTCCTGACCGCTGGGCGGCATGACTATAACATGAACATGGAAAGGAAACCCACAAGGCCGAGCGTCAAGGTTTATTTTTCGAGCGACGTAGCAGTAGATAGCTGCTGAAATCAGAGGAAGCGAATTATGATCGGGATCATTTATTGCAAATCCTAGGAAATTGTGCTCCAGGCAATGGTAATCCCGGCCCAACTGAATGCCTGTCAAATTGCTTGCTCTGAGGTATGTTGCGACAGCTCGGGCTTTCTCACGAGGTGTGAGTATATCTATATTAGGGCAGTATGTGAATATGTGCGAGGCTATTTCATCTAGCCTACTCACAATCTGGTTACTGATTAGTAGATGTTTTGCCTCTTTATCCTTTCCAAGCTTGAATGTTTTACATACTTCATCCAGATTCCCAAAACTGCTCTCTGGGATGAAAAGATCAAACGCACCCAGAGCCCTTTCCAGGGACACAGGTTCCCCGTTTCTGAGTTTGATCCATTCTGGAACCGCAATGCTCCGATGGAGACAGGTCAGCAGCGCCCTTGCGTAATACCTTTTGTTGAGATAGCGAACGTTAATCACATGGAAAATGACCAGATATTATCAATGGGAGCGCCACCTTCTGGCCAAGTAGTCCTCTGTGTCTGATCCCGCGGAAATATGGCGTAGTAGAGTATCCTTGATGTCATATCCGAGCCCAATGATGGTTCGAATTTTCTTGATTCTTCCAGTTTGCCCGGCAAGAATACTGTTAAGAAGATGGCATGTCCTGCGATCAATAAGGTGTCGAGAAACGTAGAGTCGTTTCCAGTCTACTGCAGAGACGGAACTCCTGTAGCTTGTTGTCATATCATGTTTGGGATCCCAGAATTTGAAGTGGGTTTGACAATAGAATCTCCATAGTAGAGGTTCATTCGTAATATTTTGAAACTTGTGAGAAGTCTGTCCCAGTGCAGCCGACGAACAAGGGGGGCAGTTGCATAGAATGATGTATAGTAGCTCTTCAGGAAGACAATCAAGAGACAAAACCATACCGGTACATAAGGAGGGGCAAAGGAGGAATAATGAAATGTCACCTTTTCAGTCTGGATGAAACCTAAGTAATAGAAGATATATGAGTTGCTAGATATGCTGCATATTTCTGTTTCTCATCTCTCGAGAGGTATGCCATAAATCTTGAGGTGATATTTCAGAATCCATGTAATACACGAAACACCGCTGTACCTTACAGAAAAATGGCCCACTGGGGTTGTTACAATAATCCATGTGTCACAGATGTCCTGACCTTGAAAATATCATGTAGTATGATAATAATATTTAGTAAATAAGGGTAGAGAAGTATCTGTCCTCTTGAATAATAGAGAATTAACCTTATTAGATACCTATTAATAACTCTAAATAGTAGCTATTGGATTATTACAGGAATAAAGGTGTCTTTATTAGCTGTGGATAGGGTTGTTATTTTTGCGGGTTGGGCTGGGTTCTCCTATCTTTTGCACCCAACCCACTGGGTTTGGGTCCTAGATTTCTAGGACCCAAACCTGGCCCATAACCCAGTGGGTTCTAGATGGCTGAACCTGCTAGGTTTAATTCTACTAAGGTGGTTATTCTCCACCTACTAAATCTAGTTAGTATAGGCTGGGTTGGGCCCATAAACCTGCTAAGTAATATTTAATATATAAAACTATACTAATATTTTAACAAAGATAATAAATATCTTAATATATAACTATAGAATTATTATAATATTAAGCTAAACATTAAGCATAATCATCATATATATAATAT